TCATTCATTCATTCATTCATTCATTCATTCATTCATTCATTCATTCATATTTCAAATTTGAAATTTGTCCATTGCAGAGTGACTCTGGGCAGTTTACAGTAAAAGAATAAATATTAATTAAAATAGAATAAATAGTAATTAGAAACACATTACAAAATGTGTTTTGCTAGATTATGTCTAACCAAAATATTTCTGCATTTTAGTCAGAAGTTGTACTGTATCACTTAATTAATGAGGACCTCAAGAATTCTCTGCAGTCTTTTCAAATGTCCTATTTTCCTACACATAACATTCTCCCACAGATAGCTTCCACATAACTATATGGGGAGTCACTAAAATATGGGGCTTAAAGTCAGTAGATCTTGAGGGTATGTGATGAAGGAATGGGCAGGGATGAGCAAATGGCAGCTGGATGGCATCTGTGGGCCCTGATATCCCTTTCTGTGGCTATCAGACCTCCTGTATTGAAACCACTGAAATTTAGCATTAAATCATCAATAAATGGAGGTGCAGTTATGTGTTGAATTTTGTCAGGAAAAAAAATAAATAAAGAGGTACAAGCTGAATTTATAACTTCATTCAACTCAAAAAGGAAAAAAAAAGAATGAAAAATCCAAGCTCTGCTCATTCGTATGACATAATTTTAATTATGGTTTCACCCACTGAGGCCCTTGGCCACAGATAAACCACTATCCTCCAGCTATCAAAAGTTTGACTACTTCTGCTGTATGTGTGTACACAAATAAGCAAATGTTCTTCTTTTCTCTGTAGCTTCAAGTACAGAAGCTGTATCTGAAAGGGTTACCATCATCCCACCATTGACAAAAATGCCAGTTTTAACATGTAAGTGACTAAACTGAAATGTCCATGTATCTATGAGATTGGCAGATAATTCAGCAGATAAGTCACATCAAATATCTCAGCAGATCTGGAAATAATTCATAAATTGTTATGCCTGGCAGTTATTCTTAGACATTTTAGTAACAGATAAAGTGATTTTATTTGTTCGGGGATTTTATTTTTGTTTCATTGCTGCTGATTTTACATTCTGAATTTTATCTGTGTTGTTCCATTTGCTGCTCTGCTTCTTTAGTCTTCTTTTCATCTTTGGGGTTGGGTTTTTTTTAGTATAGTTTAGAGTAGTTCAAGCCACCGGGGTAAAAATCAGAAGACTGCAAATTCTAGTCCTGCTTTTGGCATGAAGCCAGCTGGATGACCTTGGGCTAGTCAGTCTCTCTCAGTCCTAAGAAGGAGGCAGTGGCAAGCTACTTCCAAAAAAACTTGCCACGAAAACTGCAGGGACTTGTCCAGACAGTCATCAGGAGTCAAGAATGACTTGAAGGCACAATCAATGTTTTTCTTACATCGAACAATTTTTTTGAAGCAAAGGATATAAAGGCATTAAATAAATAAGTCCCCTAACAAAAGAGGAAATAGACCATTAGTCAATATTTAATACACAAATAAACTAGCTGATATAAACTATAAAGCAATCCAGATTACAATGAATAATTGAGAAAGATATCACCACTATGCAGACAACACCTAGTATACCAATTTGGTTTTTTCCGTACTATAAGTTTCTATCCCCTCACTAGGTAACTAGCTTTGAGGTCCTTAGTCCCATCAATCTATTACCTCTGGGTCTGAAACAAACCATCTAGCTCCCTCTTGTTTACTCTATACAATCCTCAAGGATCCTATTTCCCTTATTTCCAACAGCAACAACAATAGCAATCTGCTGCACTCTATTTACAGACCTTTGCAACCAGTTTTAAATCTATCACAATTTGATATTGCATCAAAATATATCATATTTTTATGTAGGTAACATCTGGCATGACTTGGCCTTTTTGTGTTGGTATGAGATGACAAGCTCTGTAATAGAGTCTTTTGTTGGGAAGACTTCAGTGTTGAAGGAACTGGTGCTGTTTTTGAGATCTTAAAGTAATCCTTCTGATGATAATTTCATCATGTTTATCCAACAAGATAAAGAAGATGAAGAGGACTCTGTTATATAACTAACAGAGCAGCAAATCTATAAATGGGCTACTTAGTTGGGGAGGAATTGGCTGTTTCTGATCTTTTATACCTTTAATGTAGTTTAACTTCTTTTTTAATTCTTGCTTTTTTTTTACTTTTATGGCCTTAAGAGCCATTTAGTGACAAGCTCACTTAAGTAAAAAAATAAAAACTACCTCAATAGATTTGAGAAAGATCCTTATCGTGCGAACTATAGGGAGTGAATATAATATTTGCAGATTTATACTATATCTATAGATGTTTGTCTAGCTCTAAATAAAGGTGGAAATAAAATGTCATATTCTTAATGGCTTTCTAATGCAGTCTAAGAAATTGGAATTATTTGCTTGTGGTTCACTCTTCTACATAATAATTTATTTTATTCTGTTAATGGAATCCTTAGGCTGGTTGGTAGGTTGGTTGGTTTTTGAGGATGGAAGTTCTTTATGACTGCTAGTATGAGCAGACTCAAGGCAATGAGTATAAAGAGAGACTATTTACAGTACTGGTTATACTACAGTATAAATTAACCTGTTCCCTAATTTAAATGTATCTTCTACACATTTCTACAATGCAAAGAAATCTGCTACAGTACCTATTGTAGTCTGCTAAAGGCTTCTTTTACTATTGCTGAGCTTGCTTGTTTGTACTTTAGCAAGCTTATAGTACTAAGTATCTAATTATGGCTTACTCCAAGTTAATACACAGGAATGAGGCAGTAACTTTGATCTTATGGATCTGCTTTGTGTTTACTCCACAATTCCTCAGCTTCCTCCAGGCCAGTTTTCCTCTAGAAGAGCTTTCTCCACCATGATAGCAAATAGGTTGGTCACTTGGTCACTTGGAGGGCATTAGAGCAGGGAAGCCTGGCCTTGGGAAAGTCTGGCACTAGTATTATCCCATTTCTAAGCCAAGAACGTGGAAGAAGGAGCCACCAGAGCAAAAGTGGAGAAGGATCCAAATGCTGCAAAGTTCTTCCCTGTCTAAATGTTTAGGCCTCTATGTCTCTCTATTTATCTATTTATCCATCCCAAAACAAAATGTAATAATGGCTTTCATACCACTGGAAGACATCTGTATTAAATCTTTACATGCTGTTGGGATTTCACAGCCTTCAACTCAGCTCATAACGGGCAAGTCTGCAGCACGTGGGGCCTCTTTCACTTCAAGACATTTGATGGTGACATCTATAATTTTCCTGCGGTCTGCAATTATATCTTTGCCTCCCATTGCAATGGACTTTTTGAGGACTTCAACATCCAGATTAGGCGCAAAATAGTGGGAAACACTCCCACGGTCAGCTATGTCAACATGAGGCTGGATGGAGCAGATTTACAAATGCAAAAGGATCAAATTTTGGTGAATGACAAACGGTAAGGCCTTAGTTCTTAGTTTGTGGAGATTCTCATCTAGAATTCACAACAAACTCTGCATTTTGTATTTCTCTACAATTTTCATGTAAGGCTACAGACACAGGAATCCAGAAGAGAGGGATAAGAGAGGGGAAAACATGCTTTGTGGCACAGACTCAACCTTTATATACTTGCATACAACCATAAGTACAAAAGGGCAGGGAATGTGTTGTGATATTCATGCATGTTTTGTCATCATCATGGCTAGCATTGACAACTTAGGCCAAAGATGCCTGAAGATGCAGGTGCTTGTAAGATTAAAAAAAGATGCAAATTAGTGCAAGATTTGAGGAGGCCCTAGGTGGCAGCATCTCAGACTTGTATGATGAGGACAAGTGAGGTGGGTTTTTTTTTTTGGTCAGTTTCTGGTCACTTTCATACTTCTAATTTTTGGAACATGAGTAAAGAAACTAGCAGAGTACCATGATAAGAAGCTATATACAGTATTCATGTGAAAGAAAAGAGGTGCAAATACATCATCTCATTAGATTACTTTTTTCTGTTGTGGGGTTTAAATATAGGAAGGGTTGCATTAAGGCAATCCTTAGGTGAGTTGATAGCTATGTCACCAAAGGATCTGAAGAGATTAGCTGATGGTTAGAAGAGATCACTTACCTGAAACTGCTCTTCTAGCCAGTAGGAGACCGCAAGAGCAAATTATTGTAGTTTTAGATAGATTTGGAAAGACATAGGAAGTTGTATTTAGGTTCTATACACTTGCTATCTCTTTAAATTCACCTTCACCAACGTAGGTCCCTGACCATTGGTCATGCTGATGGGAACTGATGGTTGGAACATTCAGAGAGCCCTACACGGGGGGGGGGGGGTAGCTTGCTTATGGGTGTATCTGTATTTACTATTTAAGATGCTCACGTCCAGCACACATACTGGCTTGGCTTTAAGCCAATTTAAGGAAATCCTATCCAGACTGAGACACTTTGGCAACAGTTTGCAAGGTAGTCAGGCCAGACTGCAGGCTACTATGACCTTCCATCAGACAATTGCCCTAATGATATGCCCTCTACCTCTCTGTTTTGTGAAAGCAATGGCCAATCACTTTCTTTTATGTGGGCACCCTTACAGGATGTATAAGTCCAGCAGTACATTCTTTCATTGTTTTTCCAGTCATTCAACGATGAGTATTATCACAACACTCACAGTAACTATAGCTCTAAAAATATTAGAAGTCACGGTAAGCAGTGACTCAGTTGAAGGGGTATTCCCGCCTCTGCAAAGTAGCCAATGACCTGGTGGGGTTAGCTTGCAACTGAAGTACACTATCTGAAACAGGCAGGAGCACTCAAGGTGATGTAACATGGAAAAGTATATTTAGGAAGTAGAGCAGAAATATTCACCCATTTGGCAATGGGGCAACTGGACAGGGTGGATAAGTCTAAAGACAATGTGGCTGTTTGAGCTACCTTTTGCCTATGTTCTGCCCATAAGTTAAGCTATAAGTTAACGATAATACAAAACAACAGTAAGACTCCAGTAACCTCTTTCCCAAAAATGGTATCAAACGTAGGTAACTACTGCATCCCTGAAGTTTTGGGGGGAAAGATGGGGCAAATGGAAATATTGTGACATGAATGACACTCTGTATTTCTAATGCATTCTTATCAGAATTCAGTTGCCTTACAGTGGATCTGGACTCGACATACAGAATTTTCTCAACTACATTAAAGTGAAAGCTAAAATGGGCGTAACCGTAATGTGGAATAAAAAAGACTCTGTCATGGTAAGTATATGATGATATAAAGAACTGGTAAGTGTGAGCTGTAGCAAAATAGGGCTGGATAGAATGCTCTTGTTTCAGATGTCAGCTTCTTCCAAGATACTCTGTTCCATTCTCAAATTTTCTGTTTTTGTCTCCAGCACACATCCAGCATTCTGTGGTTTCTGATCACTCTCACTTTCAGAGTTCTGCCCCCACCTCCCAGGTAGAGAGATAACTGAAATTAAGCTATCTTTGTGCTTGATTCAGAGTTCTTGACAGTGTAAAAGCCAAGTGAGCTACAATCACATTGTACAACTGTTGAAAACAACACTAGCTGCTTACTAGGATAATGTTTTGCTTGTGACACATAAGGCCAAACATGACTTGCAACCATGTACCTTGCAGATCATCCCTCCCAATACAGATGTGATAGCTAAAAACTCAGAAGTCAAGTTTATTTGCAAGTGGGCCTTCTCAGAAGTGGCAATTACATTCTGAAATGTTCTCCCTTGGTGCCTGAGGGAGTCTCATTTCTTCATCCAAATTGGATGAAACGAGATGGCTAAGCTGAAATCATAGCTCTACATCAAAGTTCAGGTTTACTATATCAAGCAAAGAGATGCCACAAATTAAGTATTAATTGACAAGCCAGTGTCATGTAATAGTTAAGGTAGAGGGCTTCAACTGGGGAGATCCTGGTTCAGTCCCCATTGAAACATAACTGAGGCAATCACTTTCTCAGCCTCAGTTATCTCACAGATTGTTATTCTCATTCCCCATTATGGGGATAAACTTAAGGAAGAATCCTCTGTATATCAGCTTGAGTTCTCAGAGAAAAAGTAGGATATAAATGCAATAAAATAAGATATTGAGTAGAAACACAATACCAAAGTAATACTTGCTTCTCCTTTAAACTTCTCAGACTAGCTATGAAGACAGGGCATGTTCTTTGAAGTGCTTATATGTGCAGCTCTATGTAGCCATTATGCTGCTAATAGTGGTCTTATTTCCCCTAGATATTTTATTTGAAATCCGTATATCACTGAAATAAGCTACCAAAAATGTTTCCACATGACATTGGATTTCTATTTTTAAAGATGAAAGCACATTTGGATTATTTATTTAACATATTCACACCTCTGTAATCTTAATTTTTCATTGTCTGGTTAAAATTTCAGTTTCATAGGTTGTAACCTTACAGGTTAAAAAAAAGAAACGAACTCCAAACCTTATAGGTTTTTTTTCCTCTTCCACAAAAGTACAGAAAAGGGAAACAGAGGAGATGCTTTTGTTATGACTATTACTATGAAAACTAGTTGTTATGAATAGCACTGAGCCTGTGACACAAATGACACCCCAATTTTCTATCCATTAAACTTGCTTTGGATTGTTGAAACACAACATCAATAGAAAATGTTTTGGTGTATTTAACGCAGCCACTCTCTTGGATTTGCAATATTTATTATGGAGAGTTCATCTATTACATGTTATCAACTTTCTCATATGTAATTTCAGGTGGAACTTGATAAAAAATATGCCAATCAGACCTGTGGACTTTGTGGAGATTTTAACGGCATTCCAAAGTACAAAGAATTTTATTTAGAAGGTAAGTATCAAAAACAGGGCTTACTGAATTGATTTATCCACAGTTTATGCTTCTTTACTCACTGAGTGCTACAGAACCATACTGTAGTCTTTTCATAATCTTGGCTTTTCAACATGTTGGAATAGCAGAAAATCCTGTTTTTTATTGAATATAAAACCTTTTATATTTTGATCATTAGTATTAAATACCTGGTAATTTTGCCTCATATCTGTCATTCTTCACTTTTTACATCTTTAGACATTGGATGAGTATCAGGTTCCACACGCACTAAAACAAAGAAGTTCTCAAACTTTAAATGTTCTCAAACTTAGTACTTTAGTCACCTTGTTCTCTGTCTTAAGAACATCAAATGATCTGTGACTTCAGAACGAATATGTTTTGAGTACTGTAGATATTTTATTTTAAGTTTGTAGGATGTGACTGTATGACATTTGGAACTAAAACAAGAATGTGACTGATGCTTTCTGCCTCCTTAGCCATAATACCAGGGTCATAAGCTACACTGAATAGTTAAACAAAAAACAAAAAAAATCTTTCCCATAGAATATAGTGGCAAAGGACTTCCATAGTGTTGTCAAGAAAAACTGCATGGCAGAATACTTCCTGTGAGCACCACGATGAGATGATGTCCTGCTTGTTAGCAGGACAGTGTTTGCGAAGGGAATCGCAGCTGGATGCTGGATCTGGACCAGCAAAATTTCTCTGGAAGAAGGAGAAATCATGGAGATTATCCACATGATTCCAGACAGCCACTACTCATGAGTAGACTGCAGAAACAGCCATTTTGCAGTGGGCTTATGAGTGGAGTGGCTGGGAGTTGGGATTGCATCAAACTCACACTCGCAGAGCGGCCTTTCATGGACATTAAGCTCGACCGAGCCTCATTTCTTAATCACTTTTTTGGATTATTAATTTTTTTGTTTTTGTTTCTGTTTACTGGAGAGATTAAGACTCTTTGGACCAGCCAGGTTTTACTGTATTCATTGGGTAAGTTTCCTCCTCCTCAGAGGACGATAGTGTAAATTTGATTTTAAACGTTTTGAAAATCTATGATTTTTTGGACTATGCAGCAAAAGAGTGGTTAATATATGAATTTTGGAAAGTTAACAACAGATTAAGGGGCTAGAGGGATTTGGAATTATAGCTTTGAATTAATTAGAAGATATTTTCTCATGAGAAAAGGGTGACTGTTTTGGTTTTTTTACAATAAGGAAACCTTGAAGGTTGGATACTAGAGGGAGCTAGAGGATAAAGAATATGGAGCAGACATCTATATTGCAAACTTTTGAATATCTCTCAATTAAGTTTCTTAATAGAATGGATCAATTGCTTGATAAGATGGACAGAGTGTATTATAATGAATTTATAGAACAAGAACAAAGTGCAATGGATATCTATGAAATTACTTGGAAAGGAAACTTAAATTTAATACAAATGGATCTGATGGATGACTTATTCCATAAAGAACATGTACAGATATCCCCAGGAAACTGATCTGGATAATTCTTGGATAATTCTTACCGGATATACAAAAGAGCTCTGTTAAGGTCTTGAAGGACTTCATTACAAGTGACAAGCAAAAGGATAAACTCTGATTATTGGATATACAAAAAAAACTTGTTAAAGCTCTCAACGATTTTTGTCTTGAAACACAGATGACCAGCAAACCTCTTTCTTTGAAGGGGTTAAAGAATATTTGTTAAAAACTCTGGGAAGGAATGCAAGGTTGGTTGTTGGATCAGGGCTAAAAAAGGAAAATAGTTATATCTGGTTGCCCCATACTGGACTTTTGCTGACCAAGAATGATTGATGAAGCATTTGGATTTTGTTTTTTGTTTGTTTTTTTTCTTCTTAAGGGATGAGCTATAGGGAGGAGAGATTATGTTGTATTTAGATATGGTGACAGGCTATTAAAATTGTCTTTAGTTGCTGGGGTGAAGGGGGAAGTTACCTTTTTCTTTTTTCTCTTTTCTTTCTTTTTTCTTTTCCATACCCATCCCTTTTTTTTCTTTCTTTTGTATTTTTCGGTTTGTATTTTTTGTATTTTGTATTGGCTTTTATTCTTTTCATTTATAGTTCTTAATAAAATTATTTGGGGAAAAAAAAGAAAGAAAGAAAAACTGCATGGCATCCAGGTAATTACCAGGAATTATCCTTAACTCAAGGGTGTCTTTACATTTTTCCCCATCTTCCATTATTAGATCACCTCATATTTTATGTAGAGAAAGGTTCTGAGATATCTACATCATTATAATTTCATATAAAAAACACACATTCTCTCCCCCATATATAAAAGTTGAGGTGCAACAATCAGGAAAGAGCATTTTAACATATCAGGAATTGAATTTGGACTAATTGGATTACTGTGCTTTTCTGGAAGCCACACAGATCTTTAGATCTCTATCAACTTTCACAGCCAATCTGACATGGCTTTCCTAAAAGAGAACCTTAGTCAGAGGTACTGCCAGCATGTAAATCTCTATTATGACTTTATTTCTTGAAGGTACCCCCATGACAGACTTCCACTTTGGGAGTACATGGAAGTTGAATGATCCAACAGAAGATTGTGAGGATCCTATACCACCTCCTCAGAACAACTGCACTGATGAAGATGTGAGGATTTTCTTTCTTGTTCTTCTGCTTTGCATTAGTCTTATTTGCAAAACGATTCTAGAATCTTAAGTTTAAAATTTATTAGTTGCCATTTCATAGTAAATATTTCATTCTCTCCCAATCTACTCCACAGCTATATTATAATCTTGGGTTGGAATCTAACTTTGGAAGGGCTTTTGTTACTTTGTAAAGTACCTTGATCTAATCTAAGATATAATCATGAAAAATAAGTTTTTGTTTTTGTCTTGCTTGTTTGTTTGTTTAGGAAAAGGCCCTATTGTAGAAGGAAATAGTTTCATAAAATCTTTTGCCTCCTTTTGTTTTTCCATGTAGGATATTTGCCAGAAAATACTGACTGGTTCTTCATTTTCTGAATGTAATGATATTGTGGGGGTGAACAGCTACATTGATGCTTGTGTACATGACTTGTGTCACTGTGAGGAAGTTGAAAAATCATCCTGTCTCTGTAATACTTTTGCTGAATATTCTCGGCAATGCGCTCATGCTGGCGGGCATCCTCAAAACTGGAGAAGTCCAAAACTATGCCGTAAGTGTATACTATTGCTAAACAGTGGCAAAATTGATTTGATTCTAATCCATTGTTTCTCAACCTTAGCGACTTTAAGCTGACTAGGGAATTCTGGGAGTTGAAGTCCAGACATCTTAAAGTTGCTAAGTTTGAGAAACACTGGTCTAATCCCTCCCTCTAGACTTCATCAGGAATCTTGATTCAGATTCACTTTCTAGTTGATAGCATGGAAATTAAAAGATACTGCCAGAACAAAAGAATATAAAATTGGAAGGTTGTAAATATAGCAGCTAATGGATTTCTACCTTGCAATAGAATACAATAAATAAACATTACAAATAAAATATTACATTTCACAGATTTCTCTAATTATATATTTATGAATAGCTTGAAGGGTCAGCGAAAATGCAAATCTCATCTTTCCAGACAATGCACAGTTCAAAGGAATTGGGAAAGTCACAGACTACAACACATAATCACTCTTCAGAAATAGTAAAACAAATCAGAGCACTATTCTTTAAGCAATGAGATGAAGAATGCAACAGGATGAACAATTGGATATACAGTTGTGTTTGGCAAGCTCTGTTTTTCTGCTCACCTACTCAGCTATGATGGGAAACAGCTAACTGGGTTATAAACCATCAAGGAACGATGTTCTTGCCTCTATTATTTCTGCTTCCAAGAGGTCCTCTTTCTTGAATGATGAAGCATCAAAGGAAAAGGAGAGAAAATCTCAGAACAGATGTCTGTAGTTGATACATATAATCTCCGCTGAAAAAGAATAATGGATGTATATAAACTATAAGCTATTTGGCTAGGTTGGCAACCATACAAAGACCAGAAGTAAATGGCATGAAATATATGCAAAAAACAAGAGGCATGTGGTAGGATGTGATGTGTAGGTCACTTTAATTTAAAAAAAGGTCTCTGGAAACATAATAGATGCCAATCAAAGCAATTAATCATGAATGGCAGATGCCATTTGGGGTGTCATCCTGGATTAGTGCAATGTGCTGCACATGGGGGATGCCTTTGGACACTATCCAAATGCTGATAGTTTAAAATGTCGTGTCCCCCTTGTTAGCTGGCACGGGTCACCAGGAAGCATGATACTTGTGCTGTGGGCCCTGCATTGGCTTCAAGTAGGCTTCCAAGTGCAAATTAAAGGGCTGTTTTTGCTCTATTAAGTCCTATATTCTTGGCACCTAGATATCCCCAGGATGCCTTCTTCAACTGGAATTTGATTGTACCAAGAGAAACTGTTTTGATTCTCCCCATGAAGTAAGGAGAACTGAAGCACTGAGGTGCTACTTTTCCATGGGAACATGCTCTTTGGAACAGCCTTCTGGCTGAGAACAGGCCGATCCCCTGTTTTCAAAAGATGCTGAAAACCAAACTCTTCCAAAGAGCTTTTGTGGTAGGCGCGACTGCTGTGTAGATTTTTGCTGTTTGTTGGTTTTGTCTTTGATTTTGGTTGGGATATCATTATTATTATTAATGTTATTAGCATGCAATGGTCATATTATCATGAACGTCTTATGTTATGTATCTTTGTTAACTGCTGAGAGTTCTATTGGATTATGGCATGTTACAAGTTGAATGAATGACATGGTGTACATCACTGACAGTGATTTGCTGTCAGGCATCTTCTTTTAAGCACAATATGCTGTATGGAAATTGAACTGGTCTTACTGTTCTTTTTTTTCAGCAATGTCATGCTCTTTCGGTATGCAGTATCAAGAATGTGGATCACCTTGTGCGAACACTTGTACCAATTCTGAAAGCTCTCATGTCTGTGAAGATCACTGTGTAGATGGCTGCTTTTGCCCACCTGGTGAGCTTCCATCTTCATCTTAAACTATTTTGTTGCCGAGAGGCAAAATGGGAGGAGGTACTGCTGTGTACATTGTACTGTCTTTAGTTCCTGAAGGAAAAGTGGGAGTGGGGGGGTGGGGGGTGGGAG